GCTCTGAAGCTGTTGAGCTTCAGTGAGGGTGAAATGTCTTTCTCTTGAACAAATGCTACATGAGCACCAATGCCTGCTCCAACCCTGTCACTGCATTGTCCCTGGTGCCAACACTGGCTGTGTGAAAGTGTCTCATGATTCTGTTCCTACAGCAGAATTTCTCCTCCATTATTCTAACTTGTTCCTTTTTTCCCCCATTTTTTTCCCAATCCACACTGCACTACAGTGCTGCAGGCTGAGGAGAAAACCTCTTGCTTCCATGTCTGCCCCACTGCAGCACTCCCTGCTGAAGCTGTGGGATGGAGATGCAGAGAGCTCAGGAGATACTTTCCTAGAGCCCAACCGTGTCATGCTGGAACAAGAGTGTCTGAGGCTTTGCAGTGACTCCAAGCAGGAGTGTTCCTTCCCATCCAGCTGCCCCGAGCTCTGTCCTTCCCTAGCTGCTGGCAGAAGCCACGCGGCACCCTGCAGGGTCTCTTTATGTGTTGGCTACTGCAGAGGCCGCTGAGCTGGCCCTGGAGCCCACGCTGAGGGAACGTGGGAGGGTGATGGTGCAGCACGACACCCCCACGACGGCCTCGGGGAGCTCCTCACCCTCACTCCACTCATTGAGGTCAGGATTGTAGCACTGCACACACTTCTCATACCTCTTCCCACCCTCGTTCCAGCCACCCACCAGGCACAGACACCCCTCCAGCAGTGCCACCCCGGCCGTGCTCACCCCAGTGGGCAGAGGTGCCACGTGGCTCCACTGCCCCGTGAGTGAGCTGTAACACTCCACGGGCACCACGTCCACGCGCTCGCCCTGAGGACCCAACTGGCTCCCTCCCAGCACATAGGCTTTGCCAGCCACAGTGGAAGAAGCCCCTGGGGGTGCTGAGCCTTGCCAGCTCCCTCCAGGAGTCGGTGCTGGGCTCGTAGCAGTGCACGGTGCGGGAGTAGGCATGGCTGATGTAGCCACCAGTGACCAGGAGGTTGCCATCGATGATGGTGGTGGCATGGCAGCAACGAGGTGTCTCCAGGCCTGTCTTGCTGTGCCAGGTGTTGGTGGTGGGCACGTAGCACTCGACTGATGCCAAGGAGCCCTGGGCATTGCGTCCTCCCACGGCGTAGAGGAGCCCGTTGCAGGCACTCAGGCTGAAGTGAGATCTCCTGTGCTCCATGCTGGCAAGGTGCAGCCAGGTGTTGAACCTGGGGTCATACCTGGGGGATGGAGGGGAGATCTGTCTGTCCAGGACTAGCAGCAGAGGCATGGGGAGTGGGGCTTGCCAGACATCTCCCTTTGGAGGGGACAACTCGTGCTCTGGAAGTGCCTCTCTGTCTTGTAGCAGTAAAGACACACCTGGGCAGGCAGTGCAGGTGGAGAGGATGGCATTGCATGGACCTGGATCCTACCTGTGACTGCTGCTCTAACCCAGCATTGCTCCTGCCACCACAAGCTCCATCCTGGCTTGGAAGTGGCTATTGGTCTGAGGTGTTCCCAAGCACTGCCACTGTCCCCTCTGGTGGGTGTTGGCAGGTCGAAGAGGACCCAGGGACAGGTCTTCCCTGCCAGGCCAAAGCCAGGTGTGTGGTAAGAATCCACCAGTTCCTTGTGTGCCCACGAGATGGCAGAGGGAGCTGTTGTGTCTCCAGAGTGATGCCGCGGGGCTGGGAAAAGTGGATAAGCTCTGGGACTGAAATAGGAAGGAGACCTGTCAGTGAATCCCTGAAATGTCACTTGGAGCAGGAAAAGGAACCCAGTGTGGACCCTAACTGAGGGGTGGTGATCAGGGGCTCTGAAGGGCTGTCCTCAAGCAGTGACAAGGACTTTGCCTGTGGAAGCTCCAAGCCATGGGCAGAGCCACTGGGAAGTTCAGGTTTAGGTTGCAAACAAAATATTGCATGTCAGGTTGCCATGGTTACTCCTCCCTTCTTTGAATAGTAATCCCTGTGGCTGTTTATGGGGATTTAGGAAACAAACCTTGTCATTTAAACAATGAAGGGAGAAGTGGAGGTGGAGAGAAGAGAGCCTAAAGGGTAACAGGAACCCCACAGACAGTAAATCCACCTCGTCCCTCACCCCATGGGGACAGCTCTGATCCCTCCCCAGGGTCTGTGTGGCCAGGTGCAGCCCATCTTACCTGCTCAGGCTGCTGACAGCATGCTTAGCCTGGTTCCTGGCATCATTCTGGTCTTCCCCACCAGCAATGTAGATAAATCCATCCATCACCACCACACACTGGTTAAAACTCTTTGCTGGCATCTCCGTCAGCTTGTTCCAGTTTCCCTCTGCATCCCTGTAGCTGATTTCCCTGCTCAGAGCCTTCTCAGACAAAGCTGGACGACCTCCAACTGTGACCAGTACCCTTTGGCCTCCCCTGATCCTGGTTCTCCGAGACTGGAGGCTGTTCTGCTGGTGGGGAAGCAGGTGGTAATTCATAGCATCCACGAGGAGCTTGTGGCACTGAGGATCTTGCATCATGCATGGCACAGGTTGCACGTGGTTGACCAAGTCTGGAGCTGAGATGGTGCCAAACCTGATGTTGCTGAGGAGCTCAGCAGCATACCTGACCCTCTTGGGATCAAACTCCAACCACTTGACAGCGACCTGGAAGGCTGCAACCTCATTGGGGATCTGCAGGCCATCATCCATCAGCAGCTCGTTAACCTGGTCAAAGGGAAGCTTCATGAACTGCTCAGTCTTGGAGAACTCCAGGAAGTTCTCCCGGATGAATTTTCTCGTGGCATCCTTCACCTGGTTGAGGCCGTAAGTAGCTGAGATGTTGGCGATGTAGACACAGTTCTCCACAGCCATTTCCCTCACCAGGAAGTCACTGCACAGGCCCAGCAGTGCTGGCACCTGCAGCTGTGTGGCTGCAGCAATGGTGCTGCCAATGGTGTAGAGGGAGAGGCTCAGTGTCCCCGTGTAGGCAAAGGTGATGACGGTGGCCAAGCCCAAGGGGGACACATCACGGAGCTCCACGCGGCGCAGCTGAGGGTCTCTCTGCAGCAGCCCATGGATGTACTCACTGCAGGATGCCAGGATGAGTTTGTGCACCTCAAAGGACTTGGTTTTGGTGGCAATGGTAAGATCACAGAGGAACTGTGTGTGTCTCATCTGGTTCACCCCCTCCAGGAGTGTCGCTCCATGCTCTGGTGCCTCAACCTCTGTGGCTGTGCAGTGGAAGCTGTTGGAGCTGCTGTCATACAAACTATTCAGGTGATTGAGCTGTTCCACACCCAGCAAAGCATCTTCCACCATCACTGGGGTGATGGGTGCATCCTTCTTGTTCACCTTGGGCTTCTTGGGGGGTTTCTTTTTGGGTGGCATCTTGGCAGAATTGGAGCAGGACCTGGTGAGAAGGGAGAGGTGAGGAGACTTGGAATGGGGGCACGGGTGTCTGTCCTTCTGCTCCTTAAGGCATTCAGTCAAGCAAAGGAAAAACTCCAACTGACTCATATACAATTTGGGTCAGGCCAAGAGAAGGATGGGAACTGCCCCCCAAGCCCTACACCCTACTGAGGTGAGTGAAAGCCTCACGGGTTCCATGGGAGGAACCTCAACTCAACCAGTACCAGCACCTTCACTGTGTTACAAAGGACTGGGGACTTAGGGTCCCTTGGGGAACTGGGAGCACCCACTGGTCCCTGGGGTGTGGGGCCACTTTCAGTGCCTGGGGTGGCACCAGGCAGAGCAAGGCAGAGACCTGGGTGTGTTTCTCCTGACTCAGGCACGCATCACACAGGGTGAATCACGTCCCAGCAGCTCTTACAGAGGTTCCCTCACATCAGCAGGGTGAGATGAACCCCAGCACTGCAGGATCACACAGAACAGGGTGTTCATTGCCCCCTCAAGCCCCTTGGGCACGGCAAGGCACTGTTGGGTAACTCCTAGGACCAGTTGTCCTTTGGGGTGATCAGTTCAGTGAGTGGGTGAATGGAGCGGAAAAATCAACCACAAAAGTCCATCTTGAATGTTCCTAAATTCCATCTGGATCTCCAGCCTGAAGCTCAGCACTGACCTCACCTCCTCCAAGGGAGCTTGGAGCAGCCAATGTATGAGGGAACAAATCTGGCCAGAAATAGCTGTTACTGCACTGTCTCACATGTCTGGGGCTGTTTATTGCACTTGGCCACAGAGATCATGTTCCTTGGGACTGAGTAATCAGCTCGGATTTAGCACTGGGCAGAGCAGGGAGGCAGGGGGAGACTTGAGGAAAACATGGAGAAGGGAAAAGTTTAGTAAAAATCCTGACAGGAAAGAGGATTCAGGGTTGAGTGGGAGAGCAGCAGTGCTGGGCCAGCTGAGCTCAGCGTGCCAGGGGGAGCAGAGGGAGCAGGGATGACTCAGAAGCCAAAGGGATTCAGGAGCAAAGCCCCAGGCACTCAAACCATCCCTGGAATCGTGGTGTTTCACAGGGCTATCCCAGCTTACACCACGGAGAGCTCATCTGGCACAGTGTCATATCCTGGAGTGGGTGTCACTCCTGGAACTGCTCTCATCCTGTGTTTGGATATGAAATGGTTTCTGACACCAGCTCAGGACTGGGAGAAGGAACTGGGATTTATCCTTTCAGAGCAACAAGACATGGATATTTCCAAACACATATTTTGTTCAGACTATCCATTCCCCAGGAAAATTTGCAGTTTCAGCTTCTCAGGAGGATTTGCAGTGATGGTACAGGTCAAATATTGGAATTTCTCAAGACATTATTTACCAGCTTTTCTCTGCAGATCCCTCAGACCTGCATCTCCCTGAGTTACTTTTGACAGACTCCAACTAGAAGTTTGAGTTGTTTCAGAGTGGCTGTGGGAGGGCACAGTGACCTTTTCTACCTGCACTGAGCTTAAAGTAGGGCATTATTGCTGCTCCTGTTTGAAACACCACTGCAGTGACCTGAAAGGGGTGTTTTTCCTGCAGATTAATCCTGGTTGCTGGATTAACCTAGGAAACTGGAGTGATTTGAAGAGATTTCAAAGGGCCCAAGCAGAATGGAGGGAAGACAGGGAGAGAAGCTTTTTTTTCCCCTAGCTGTTTAAACTTCTCTTAAAAGGCAGTGGTTGTCCTCACAACCTTTGAGAACTGCTAATCTCAGCCCTGCACCTTATTACTGAGCCACCAGCACAGCAGGATCTGTGCTGGGTTGTGCTGTGTCTTCAGAAGTTATGGCAGGTTTGCTTTATTTAATATTTAACCAGAGTCTCTTCTCCTTTACCTGCTGCTTCCTCCAGCCCTGAGTTCAATCAGGGTCTGAGTCACAGCAAACTCCAAGCCAACCTGAAAAACTACCTAAGACACTGCAGCTCTAGGCACTATTTTGCTGCTAATAATTCCTCCAGTTCATCTTAGAAAGCAGCAAAGTCTTTCCCCATGCCATTATTTCCATTATTCAGCAGTTCCCAAGCCCCACACAAGGTCTCTGCAGATCCTGCCAGGTGACTCCTGGCTCTCCATGACTCACCTGAAGGCTGAGTCTGCTCTTCCTTTGCTCTCAGACCGGTTAGTCCATGGGGGAAGCTCTGCCCAGTGCTGGGATTTGCAGGTGGAGGCACACAGACCCTTCTCCCTCCTCTCCCCCCGCAGCCAGCTGACTGCTCTTATCACTTCTACACTTACAGCAGGACTTTGGGGTGGTGTGAGGACAGCTGCCCTCACCAACCCAGGGACATGGGCTGCACTCAGGTAGTGCCTGGGCAGGACCACGGGCTGGGCAGGATTGTCCTGCTGATGCCAAGGGTGAGGTGATGGGGCAGTCTAACCCCTGGCTCTGCTCCAGAGGGTTTCCCAGGGTGTTTGGGGATGAGCTGGGGGACATTGCCATGCTGATGTCTTCCCCACAGTGGGGATGACAACACAGAGCTTGATCTGGTGCTGGAAGATATGGTTTAGGGGTTACAGTCATTGATGGTTGCACTTTGTCATCTTAGAGGTCTCTTCCAGCCTTGATGCCTCTATAACTCTATGAATATTGGCTGAGGAAGTGTTGGAGTCACCATCCCTGGGAGTGTTTAAGTGGCATCTGGAGCTGGTGCTGGAGGATATGGTTTAGGAGTTCCAGCAGTGACATGAATGGTTGGACTTGATGATCTTAGAGGTCTCCTCCAACCTTGATGAGTCTATGATTCTGCAAATATTGCCCAGGGAGGTGGTGGAGTCACCGTCCCTGGAGGTGTTTGAGAGACATCTGGACCTGGCACTGGAGTATATGAGTTATTGGTTTAGGGGTTACACTGTTTGATGGTTGGATTTGATGACCTTAAAGTTCTCTTCCAGCCTCGATGATTCTATGACTCTGTGAATATTGCTCAGGGATGTGTTGGAGTCACCATCCCAGGGAAGGTTGGAGAGGCATCTGGATGGTTTGATGGTTGAATCTGATGACCTTAAAGGTCTCTTCCAGCCTTGATGATTCTGTAACTCTATGAATGTTGGCTGGGGAGGTGTTAGAGTCACCATCCCTGGAAATGTTTGAGAGGTGTCTACATCTGACGCTGAAGGATGTGGTTTAGGAGTTACAGGGAGTGACAGGTTAACAGCAGGACTTGATCTCAGGGATCTCCTCCAGCCTTTACACTTCTACACATACTGCTCAAGGAGGTATTGGAGTCACCATCCCTGGAAGTGTTTGAGAGATGTCTGGCTCTGACGCTGAAGGATATGGTTTAGGAGTTACAAGGAGTGACAGGTTACCAGGACTTGACTATCTTAGGGATCTCCTCCAACCTTGACACTTCTACACAAAGTGCCCAGGGAGGTATTGGAGTCACCATCCCTGGAAGTGTTTGAGAGATGTCTGGCTCTGACGCTGAAGGATATGGTTTAGGAGTCACGTACAGGGAGTGACAAGTTAACAGCAGGACTTGATCTCAGGGATCTCCTCCAACCTTGACACTTCTACACAAAGTGCCCAGGGAGGTATTGGAGTCACCGTCCCTGGAAATGTTTGAGAGGTGTCTACATCTGATGCTGAAGGATATGGTTAAGGAGTTACAGGGAGTGACAGG